GTTATACCGGTCAACCAAGTTATAATTTCGACTGTTGACGAAGTTATCACTTCGCCAACTCGTATAACTTTCATATGACATAGCTACTTAAATAAGTATCTGTACTATATTTATACACTTTCTTCTCTCGAAGAAAGCTCTTACCCACGTAAAAAAAAGAATGGAAAAATCAGATTGTTAATGAATTATAATGGCACTATTATAATCTGATTTTAATTAGATTTTTCTATATAAAAAAATCAAACTTTTGGCATTTTGATTTTTTCTTAAACGATTATAATTGATTATAAAAAAAATTAGTTAAAATCGATAAAGAAAAAATCAAAATTCCAAAAGTTTGACTTTTTATATAGAAAAATTTAATTAAAATCAGGTTATAATAGTGCCATTATAATCGATTAATAATCTGATTTTTCCAGTCTTTTCTTACATAGGTACCATACGAACCACAAAGTGAAAAAAAACGCTAAAAGTCAAATAGGAAGAGAATAGGCTTGTCGAAATATGCTTTTGCTTATAATTATGTTGTTGTTATTCTGTTAAACGTGTTATTAATTATTCACAGTACTATTTCGTCTTATTTATTACTTTACTCTTGTCATCCTGCTTTATTTGTTACTATTGATAACACAATGTATTTTTGTTGAACGACAACTCACACCATGTTTTTTTTGCTGCGTTTGATCTTGTATCGTCGTTTTTCTGCCTTTTTTCTCTGACTATTACATGATCACTATTTTCTCGTATTCTACTTCTATTGGCTTTATATTATTGAAATTATTGTCTCGTTGTTAATAGTAATTTTCTTTATAATAAAATGAAGATTATGAAATCCAAGTTAATACCGAAAGTTTTCAGAATAAACGTAGCTTAGATCGGCCACCTAAGAAACAATTAGAAGACTTTGATAGTAATCTGAACGTTTATCGAAAGAAAAATGTCAAGAAATCAAAAACGTCAAAAGCTGAAACTGAAGGTGATAATGAGGATGTAAAGTGACGACGATGGTGATGTAGATTGTTGGCATCATGAACTACTATTTCAGATATTTGCTCCTTTCCCCCAACACTATGATTCGAGTTTTTGACATTTTTACTTTCTACTGAAATTGAGAAAATCGATTTTGATCATGCGCAGAAGAAACGAATGCGAAAGAAATCTGACAATTGCAAAGAACTCGACTAGTAAAAAAAAAAGAAGCACAGACCTGATAATAGTTGAAGATCCCAGCTACATTGATAGAGAAAGATGGAGGTCGCATAACCAAAAAACACACGAATAACGGTCCATCCCATGTTTTTAAGAAACATAATAGGTCATGGAAGAACCAGATAGATCGAACTATAAATATTAGTACCTTGAGAGAGACAAGCATTTTATTGAATCCTGTTGAACCAACTGTTAGGTACGATGTATAATTATATTATCAAATGAGAAATATTATATTTAATTTTATAAAAGTGAATAGTAAATATTTTATTTACTTTACTAAAGTAAATAGTAAATACTATATTTACTTTATTTTACTAAATAATAAATACTTTATTTACTTTACTTTAGTAAATAGTAAATATTTTATTTACTTTACTTTGGTAAATAGTAAATATTTTATTTACTATTTACTAGTAAAGTAAAGGTAAAGTCCCACCCCTAGTAGCTTATGAACAGAGTTGCCACCTCCTCCACTTTTTGCCGAAGGTTTCCGCTTCTTCAGATAAAAGACTTTCATTTGGTTATTCATAATTCGACATAGAAAAAAAGCTGTTATTGTTCAATAAATCGTGATCACTGACGTATATAGTCTGTCATCACAGTTATTAGCCAATCTGTTAACTTACTGGAACAACATTAAATTTTTTGCTATGAACGAGAGACTACTTTCAACTTCTATTGATGAAATAATAGCTAACTCTGCTGATCCATTTGTTTTTCTCTGCTCTATTGACACAGAAAAAGGGCACGAATCCGAAAATTTAAACCACTTTTTTGTAATAAATTCATAACGGGATAATAACTGAGTTAGCAAAAATATAGGTTTCCGCTTTTTCGACTTCATGAGATAGCAACTCTGCTCATGAAGAATATGTGAGTTCCACATTTCAGCCACAAAGGGACTACGCTGACAAGCATTTTTTAGATCAAGTTTTTAGGTATTTTTTTGTCGAAGAGATATACGCTATATTACAAAGAATTCATTATTAGTGACAGATAGAGAGAAGATTTTGCGAAGAACCACCTTAAAATCGGAGTATTTTTCTAGATCTCAATATTTAAGAAAAAGTTTATAGGAGTGTATGGCTTTCTAAAATGACATTTCAAGTTTTCTTTCCACATCGTCTTATATACAAGGTATACTTCAGATGGCTTAAATTACTACATAAAAATCGTAAAGAAAAATTCAGTATGAAAAATGATTTAGTGCAAACGAAGAATTCAAACAAGGATAGAGTTAGTTTCAAGGACAAACAACAACGACTGACTTTGACTTCGTTCAAATATCGATCTTTTAGTATGTTTAAAAGTGATCAAATAATAAAAGTGCGAATATAGATGTGTGTGCCTATGGGAGTGGGAGTTGGTCTGAGTTAAGAAGAAAAGTACAACTACCTTCACACACTGTTCCGGTAACAGAATTAAATGATGGGAGTCTCATTGATTTTCTTCTGCTCGTTGTTATAGTTTCTCCATCAGAATTTCTTTTTATTCATTGAGGAGATTGCGCCTTTCGTCAAAGAAACGAAACGCATTGCAAATCGCATGTAACAGTTGGTAAAATGATGATATATTCATAAATAAATATGAAATATCGTTCATAAGCGTTTCTGGATGTACTTCATTAACATTTTTATACGTTTATTAAGAAATTTCTTACAATATTGCTCTATAAAAAAAAGTAGACTTTTACAATTGCCAAAAATCAGACACTGCTGAACTATCAACAAAAAACCCATTCATTGCTAGCTTTATTGTTATATTGAAAATTGGTATCGTTTCCAAAATAGTTCAAATAATATTCGTAAATATCTCTAAATTCTGAATCTCCAACCAAAGTAAAAGTTTTTTTAATAGCATTCTTTATAATACCACATTCAATTAATGATTTAAATATATTCATCGACTTAACACTGATATAATTGCCCACAATACCAATGCCTATAAGAAAACAAAACAATATGATTTAAAATCTCGAAACGCTAACTTGAAGAGTAATAGAAAACTTCAGCAATAAAATCCTTATATAATCATACACATTGAAATTTATCTAAGATTTTAATTACTTCTAATAAAGCTATAACGAGCTCAAGATCAAATTGACAAAACACTAAGATCTGTTATTCTAGGAAGTCGAAAAAAAGGAAGTTTTCTTACCTAATGATCTGTTATTGTAGTCTCTACAATGTGCACCAATATATTTCCATCCTCTACCTTCATAAATTTCTTGTTGATCATGATTATCATTACATATGATAAAATTATAACCAATATCAGACCAGCCTAATGTGTACATGTGATAATGTTGAAATCTTATTATTTGTTTAATACAATCTTGTTGATTCCTAGGTGAATAAGAATCGTTTATTGGTCTTATTACAATATGTGTAACCGGAAATGTTTTTAAATTATCATGACCTCTAGACGGACGTGCATTCCAGCTCGATCGATTTAATATATTGGGACAACCTATAAGAAATGAACATTAACCATGGTTATTTGATACTTGTTCATCAAAGAATGAGTTTTAGCATTGTTTTGAAAATAATAGTTTACTCTAATTATATCCAGTTTTATTGAAGTGTTAACTACAACATCAAATTTACATATTTCTTCAAGGTTCATAAAATATAGAATTAGTGAAATTGACTGCTCTCCACTCCTTGTGATAACTATCGAGAAATTACCACCGGAATTTTCTTTAGAAAGTACTATGTCATAGTGTATTGTATCAAAATGAGGAATATTAAGTTTATTAAAATTGGCAGAAGTGAATCATTCACGATGATTCGAATTTGGATAGAAAACAATCTCTGCAATCGTTTATAGATGGAACCAAAAATCGTAAGCGGTACCACTGCTTCTGATTAGTACCATGGTGTACCGATAGCAGCGCAAACAATCGTGTGGCATAAGCCATCTAAACTCGCAACCAATGATGGATCCAGGAATTGGGCTAGTTGGATCTCAGATCCAAGTTTCGCCACTGCTCACAGTCAGTGATTATATTTGCCAGTACGAAAAGAGTGAATTTTAATCAATTTGCTTAAAAGTCAGGATAAACATTTCGTAGAACTTTCGATATTTTAGTTTGTTATAGACTCTTCTCTGACAATTTTTTTCTCGTCTCACTTTTACCTAGTGGTAATGAATCGTCGACATCAATATCATTTTCTTTTGTTGACATGGTGGTGTTGGTAGCGGTATTTTTCTTAATAACGAAAGTAAAAATGAATGTGAAAATTAAACCGGAAAAGAAAACTAATAGTAAAAATCCAATGATGCCATAAAGAAGATATTTGCGTCGTTGAAGTTTTAGATATTCTCTGCGGTCTCTTATATCATCACAAGATGATAAAAATGAATTTGTTCTCAATTCTTCAATATCTAAAAGTTTAATAAATAGAATTTAAAGAAAAATTTTTCTTTGATATATGTGAAGAAAAGTGCTTTACTTTCTGATTCACTATTATTATCTGAATCTTCACATTCTTCTAATTCAATTTCGATTGAAATTGTATTTGTTGAATCAAAATCATTTCGTTTAATCTTCACTACTTTAAAAACACTAAATGGGAGAATTAAGATTTCTTTTTCATGTTGGTTCATCGATAAATTTTCAATATTAATAGCTGTTGAATTTTGTTTTATTAAATATTTACATAAGCATGAATATTGTAAAAAACGATGATTTTGATAAGTATGTCTCATATGAGATTGTTGACCTTCGCCAGCAAACATTTCAGCTATTTCACGATCAATAGATGCTGATAAAAATGAACGATTTAATATATGTTGATCTAATTTATATTGTTCTAAATCATGTTGTGTTATTCTCATACCACGATAACATGCACCTTGAAATCGATATTGAGATAAATTTGGATGATGAATTAAGAGTGTTACGATATGAATAAGGCAATTAACTAAACGATAATTTGGCGAAAAATACTTTGTTCTATCAAAATATTCTAATACATAAAGAGCTAGGTGTTTATTTAATTCTTTAAAAAAGCGTGTTGATAATGTATAAGCTTTTATAAAATATGTTAAATAATCTTGTTTTTCTATGGCTTCTTTAAAACATGCTTCGATGGTTTCAATTTGTTGACGAGTAATTTGATCTTCTGAATTGTCATTATCATTACTTTCATTTATCAGATATTCATTTAAATAATAATGAATGATTTCAACTAATAATTTTGATATTAAATGTTGATTGTCATAGTTTTTGTACAAATCAATTTTTTGTCGAAATTCACGTTGTTTATCAAGGAGATTATCACCTACCATTGACCATTCAATGTAATCATAATCATTATTGGAAAACAATTTTTTTTCTAAAAATAATTGTTTTATATCATCTGTATCAGCTTCTTCATAAGCTGTTAAATCATATGTTAAATTTCTTACTGAACGTAAAGCTCCATATTCTAATAACATATATACTATTTCTCGATGTCCATAATAACATGCAACATGCAAACATGTTGAATGGGTTGATGCATGAATTTTATTTATGATATTCTTATTATGAATAAATTGTAAACAATTTCGAACTTTTTCTATTTCATTTTCTTTACATAGACGATACAATAAATCAATAGTAGTTGAATCATTGTCGTTATTATTTGATCGATATAATGATAGCATGACGATGAAAACAAAGAATTGAATTTTTGGATGAATAAGAAAGTATTTTTAACGTATTTTATGCATTAACTAGTAAGAATATTGACGATGTTGCGAGAGAAATTCTTCGATCAATGAATTAAAAATTCCATGTCTCATGCCAAAGCACTAACTATTGACAAAAACAACCAGAAAAGGAGAATAGGCTTTGACATTCAACTTCGTTGAAATGAAAGTGTCGACTGCCAAAAGTATGAAATTCAAAAACTTTTTCTTCCGAGTTTACATGCTATTAATCATCTTCTTCCTTTTTAAGAGTCAGACGAGAGACGTATATAACTATAATACATTATTTGCAATACAAATTATTCACTTCCCATAAGCATTCTTTTCCTACCGTGATTAATACGTAAAACAGTTACTCAAACACTTCTAATATATGATGGAATATATTTAATCTCATCAACCGTTTCTAATCGCATATGTACCTATCAAGAGAAAGAAATCTTATAAACTTTCACAATAAGCTGAGTCATGGAAAAAAGTTTGTTCATGTAGCTCTATTAAGGCTGAAATGTGTAACTCCTGTGTCTTCTTTAGCTTTATTATATCAATGCAAGAAATAAGCAAAATGTAAAATCTCTAACAGACGATAGTTCCTTTTCATCGATAATCGATTATTAGCAAAGCGTTATGTCTTTTTTATTTTTATATTTCAAATAGAAATTCTTTTTTACTACGGGCATTCTATGTTTTTTTTGCCCAGTTACTATTCGCATTTTATTTTTTTTTCGTATTGCTTGTTTCTTTATTTAACGTTATTATTATGATAAGCATTGAAGTGAATGACAAGCAAGACTGTTGAAAACAGGAGTGGCACATTTACATTATTTTTTATTTAGGTAAATATAGTAAAGTAACTGCTGCAGTTACTTTTTACAAGCAGGATGGATGGGTGTGCGGGTGAGAATGTGGATGGGTGGGTGTGGATCTTCTCTTTATTTTTGCCCACACTCACCCATAGCGCACACCTACACCAGTCTGATCTCAATATTCACACCAACACCCATGGTATCCACGCCGATACAAACACCCCACACTCACACCCTCAGGCGGTAACAGCTAATAACTGATTTATCCCAGTATAGCACTGTGTTTGTGTTAGGTTTTTACTTTCTATGCACAAAAATCAATCGACAACCAGTTTCATGATATTGTTGTTAACGAATATCGGTGTCTTCATTCAGTATAACTGTTGAAGTCAAATCTTACAATGGCTCTGAAATGCATTTCCTTTCTTACTATTACTACATTCTTCAAACTCATCTGAAAGGTTCGACAAGTTAGTTGAGCTATTGAAAGAAAATATTGAGTGAAAAGATGTCTGTCGAAGAAGTATTTTGATTGTCTCAGTTAGAATTGTTTCTAATCAGATTAATTCACCTATGTAAACTTTCAAAATTTACTGCTATCTGTTGAGAAATTTAACGAAATAGTATAGTGTTGTTGCAACAAAGAGCGTCGATATATGCAGATTTTCAGAGAAAAACAAATATTCGGAAATGGTCAATCGTA